GAAACTGAATGATTTCAATGTGTCTTTGTTTTTGATCCTTTGATTCAGTGTAAATAATTTTTGTAAAAGACTGAAAGAAATAATAATATTGTGAAACAAAGTGTCATTCTGGTTTGTCTGTCTCTTTGCCTGTCTTTCCTTTCATTTTTCTTTTCTTTGCTCATCTTGTTTCTTCTTCTACTTCACATGCTCATGCTCTTAGTCAATAGTTCTGTGACAATATATATATGTATATATATATATATAGAGAGAGAGAGAGACGATATATATATATATAGAGAGAGAGAGAGAGAGAGAGACGATATATATATATATATATAGAGAGAGAGAGAGACGATATATATATATATATATAGGAGAGAGAGAGAAGAGAGAGAGAAGAGAGCTATGGTGTTACTACGTGTTGAGCGCCGTCCTTGATGATTGGCTGCTGGTGCTGTTGAGCGCCAGGACAGGAACTCACATTGGATGAAGAAGACATGTATAACTGTTGGGCACTATACATTTGAACTCGTGATTCGTTCTACTTAATTTGGTTGTGATAATTGAGTTGCGCTTTCTGGTGACCGCTCGTCTTTCATTGTACTTGATGTGAGTCAATGCAATCTGTCTGATCTGTACTGCATGCATGCTATCTGGTACACTCCAGCAAGTGAAATTCATATATATATATCACAGCCCCTCGTTTGTTGTCCTCTTCTCTCTCTCTGCCTACGGTTTTACCGGGCAGTTCTGTTTGTGACGATATATATATCCGACGAAACAGTTTTTTTTTTTTTTTTTTTCCCCCCCCCCCTCGTTTGTTGTCCTCTTCTCCCCCTCTGCCCACGGTTTGGGCAGCTCTGTTTGACGATATATATATGTATATTATATATGCATACTATTATTATAATAATTATATGTATATAGTATAAATATATATACGTAGATGGGCCTGTTGAGTCTTCTGAGGTTTGTCTTCCCTCAACACTTGCCCAATCAACCTGAAACCAGCCGTTCCTAAACCGACCCTGAAATGAGCCTAAAACTGACCCCGAAACCAAGCCTAAAACCAACCCCATAACTGACCCTCAAAACCGTCCTTAAATTACTGAACCTTAAGCTGACCCTGAAACTGACCCTGGAACCGACCCTGGAAGTGGTCCTGGAACTGATCCTGGACCCGACCCTGGAACCAACCTGCTGACCCAGCTTGCAGCCGAGCCTGGTACTGACCCTGCAAGCCTGAAACCGAGCCAGGAACTGAATCGAGCGTGGAACCTAACCGAGCCTGGAACCGAGCCCGGAACCGATTCTGGAACCGAGCCTGGAACAGAACCTAGCCTGGAACGGAGCCTGGAACAGAACCTAGCCTGGTACCAACCCTGCAAGCCTGAAACCGAGCCTGGAAGCCTAGCCTGGAACCCACGCTGGTACTGACCCTGCGAGCCTGAAACCGAGTCTGGAACCAAGCCTGGAACCGAGCATGGAACCGACCCTGCTGGAACGGAGCCTGGAACAGAACCTAGCCTTAAACCTAGCCTGGTACTAACCCTGCAAGCCTGAAACCGAGCCTGCAAGCCGAGCCTGGAACTGACCCTTGTACTGACCCTGCGAGCCTGAAACCGGGCCTGGAACCAAGCCTGTAACCGAGCGTGGGACCGACCCTGTAACCGAGCCTGGAACCAAGTCTGGAACCGGGCCTGGAACTGAGCCTGGTACTGACCCTGCGAGCCTGAAAACGGCCCTGGAACCGACCCAGGAACCGACCTTAGAAGGCGCCCACTCTAAAACAAACCCACCCTAAAATCGTCTGGGATTGGTCTTCCCTCTATTATCCGTCACGCTTGCCTGATAGACCCTAAGACCGACCTAAAAAACCGACTCACCCTAAAACTGATCCTGGAACTGACTCTATACCCCTGTTCTGGCTTTGTTGGTCGAATCTATCTCAGATTGTACTTGGTAGTGTCGACACAACCACAAACAGGGTGTGTACTTGGACGTGTTCAAGTCCAGGTCATTCTGGCTGGGAGAGGAAGTATACGGGGATGCACCGGTTAGTGACTCAGATCAATGCACCTGGAGGTTTTTCAGGCCATTGGCGGCCCGGCCTTTGATCAGATTTTGCCATCATTTCCTGTCAGATGTACACGTGTCAACTCTCTATTCGTGTTTTTTTTTTTTTTTTT